CACCAAGCCGATTTTGATGCTCTAACCACCATTAGATGCATCTTGACAAGCTTTACAAAAGTCTCTTAAGTTAGAAATATGATTAACTTAGTATAAAAAAAAGTTTTAGATGTGTGCACGCCACATTTGGAGACCCCCAATTTTTATAAGTAATTTGAGTCACATTTTACTATAATCACTCTCTGGTTGACTGGTGAATCACTAATTAAAGTAAAAAATATAGGTTAAAAATTAGAATTTTTTATATTAAAGTGTAGGAATGTGATTTCATTTAATAGTTGAAAAAATATAATTTTGCTATAAAATAAAAATGATAATTTAAAAAAAAAATAAAACAATAGTTTAAAAAAATATTGTAAAAAAAAAACTTAAAAAATAAAAAATAATAATTTAAAAAAACGAAAAAATAAAAGTATAAGGTAAAGCACACGTGATATCTTATAATACAGTGATCAGAATCAGTTGATTTTACTACCATTCGATTTGTCTCGATGAGACGAATTGGATGAGAGTAAAGTTATCCGATTCTGATCACTGTGCCACGAAATATCGATGTTTAAATAAAATGAAATATTTTTTTAGTTTTTTGAAATTTTAATCTTTGATTATCTGTACCTTTTGATATAGTAATCGAAATCGAACGATTTTGGTACCATTCGCCTTGTCTCATTGAGACGAATCTAATGGTACCAAAATCGTTCAATCCTGATCACTAGATCACAAGATATCACGTATACGTCATTATTGGTCCATGTACAATTATTTATTGATTTTTTGGTTTTATTTTACTTTGTGATATCTCGTGATATAATGGCCAGAAACGAACGATTTTGGTACCATTCGATTCGTATCGATGAGACGAATCGAATGGTATTAAAATCGTTCGATTCGGATTATTCAGTCACATGATATTGGCTGTAAAAGTTAACTGCATCATAATACCCTCCTTTACTTTATAATTTAAAAAAAAAATAAAATACATGATAATCTAAAAAATAAAGGCGTTTATTTTTGTAGTTTCAATTAAATCACACAACTCTCTCCAGTTCACTCCAGAACCTATCAGCAACAAAAATTACTCTGCAAAATCACATAGTCTCTTTTCAAAATTCTTACGGAGCTAAAAAAGCCCTTTGACATAACAAATGCGAGTTTATTGCTCTAGACATGGGCAAACAACAGAAAACCAAAAAGGCCAGACTCTCAACTACTATAGACAAAGAAAACAAAGGCAAAGTCTTTCACTTTGTGGAAAACGAAGGTAGCAGAAAAAATTCCAATTCATTAAACTCTCATAGGGAAATTGCCCAGAACCCAAACTTGAAAGCTTCAAAGAACTTGGAACCCAAGAACATTAAAACAAGCTGGGTGAATCAATTAGAAAGTAAAACTAAAGACATGGAGGATACAACCATGGGTGAAGATCAAAACACCCCATGTATTACCTCATTCGACACAACAAACCAGATAAACAGTAAGCTGAAAGAACAACACGTGAGCCAGGTTAATAACATGAGCAAAAAAGAACACATGTGTCACACAGATGCACAAGAACTAGGAAATACAGACCTGAGTCCACCTATTAATGCCCAAGCTACTACAAGTGCCACTGCCCCCATATCTAAAGAGACCAAACTGAAACAATAATCTGATCTTTTTACTAAGTATAAGGATGAAAAAGCTAGTTTCACAAACACTTCACCCAAATATAAAGTTCATTCGAAAAATGACAATGCATTAATTATCGATATACAAAGTTTGAGTAATATTTCTACCAACAATATAATTGCAACACTTGCACTCAAGCTTAATGGAGATTTTATAGCAGCCAAAAGTCATGCAGTGAAAGGAAAAAGAGCCTCTCTTGAGCTGATCTTCAAAAGCAGAGAAAAGGTGCAATACTATGCTTCTGAAGGAATTTCCATTTTCCAACAAACCTTTTTTAAATGCTTTTTTCTCACAGTAAAGCTTAGAAATACACCAATGGGTGACTTGGATCACACCACGAGCTTCATTCTAGAAGCCTTTCAGGATATTGGCAAGGTTGCTGTGATAAAACCTCTTCTGTTCAAAGGAACAACAATCTGCTCTGACCAATGGCTAATAACCTTTGAAATAACCGACAACCCGGATTTATATTCCAGAATCCCAAGAAGTACTCATGTTGGTGACCACAAAGTAACAACTGAGTGGAGAGAGGCTCCGAAAGTATGTTATTATTGCGAAAAAGAGGGCCACGTCAGAAAAGAATGTAAGGAACTTAAAGCCTCAATAGAAATAAGGTGCTTGTTAAGGGAAGCTAAATCCCAAAAGGAGAAACCCACAAACCATAAAGTCACTTCTACGGGGCTCAATTTTAGCCCAAATAATCCATATGTAAAGGAAGCCATGGAAAACACAATCATGAAAACCCCACCTAAAAGTACAGAAATCACAGAGGACTTAACCTCAAAGAACGAAAATATGGCATCTCAAAATATGGAAATTGAGTTATCAACTGAGAAACTAGTAAAATCCACAGTGGTCACTTCAGAGACCTCTGAAATAGAATTCATATCAAGCCCGAAGAAATCCAGTTTAACTCAGCAAAACTTACAAGATCTGCCATTCACAGTTGTATCTTACCGTAAACCGAATAGTAAGAAAGGTAAATGACAGAAATAGAAAACAAGAAATCACCTTATATGAATCAACAACAAAAGGTCCTTGCAGATGCTTCTTGGGGCATCTCTGGACCACAAAACCAATACTAAGTGAAAATCAGCCTCAGTGTAGCCATATTCTACATTATATATATATATATATATTCATGTTTAAAATTGCTACACTTAATGTAAAAGGTCTAAATAGCAGACCTAAAGCACAAAAAATGCTTACACTTCTCAAGTCATATAACCTTGACATTATTTTAATTCAAGAAACCAACCTCAATGATATTGCAACAAGGAACTTTCTAGCACAACAATGGGGATTCAGCTCAGTCTGGTCCTCAAAAACAGCAATATTAGCCGGAAAAAGAAATATAGAACTCACCAAAACAAAAGAATCTCAAGATGGTTGCATTATTTCAGTTAACACAGAAATCAAACAGCAATTATTTCAAATTACAAACATCTACGCACCTCCCAAGCAGAAGAACAGAGTTCGCTTTTTTGAAGGGTGGGCCCCACCTGCAACAGAAGGAAGAATAGGTATCATTGCTGGTGACTTTAATACAAATTTGGACCCACAAAATGATAGAATTAGTAACGTACCAGTGCAGTTTGACCATTCAAGAGACCTACTACAAAACCTCATGGCAGATTTTACAGATATAGCCAGTGTTCATTTTTCACATGCACAAAAGTGTGCGCACGTGTGCGGATCCAATCAAAATTTTAAATAAAGCAATTTGATTGGATCTGCACATGTGCACATACTTTTGCGCATGTGAAAAATAAACACTGGATACAGCCCTATTCTCCACTAAAAGGCCTTTTCTTACCTTTTACCAATCAACACATAATGGTCAAAGAATGGCAACATGCCTCGATTACATATTCATTGATGCAAACTATCCCTTAAACCGTCTAACAGGCAAATTTGCCTGCTAAAATTATTTTTAAAAAGTTTTTTTGAGTTTTCTTAAA